AGTAACTAAATAAATATAATTGAAAAGAAACCAATAAGTAAAAAACATTTGTATCAAATGCTGAAACAATTAAACAAGTAATTAAATAAATAATATTCCAAAGAAATCAATAACTAAATAACATTTCAAATTAAACAATTAAAATCTTTGACAGGCTGTTGTTGCTTTTCTTACTCTTTTAATTGTGATTTAGTTTTGAAGGTATAATAATCTAGTAAAGGTTTTAAGTCTATTTATTTGAAAATATAAATTATCTTTTAAATGTTAAGAGCTGTACTTAATTAAACTATATATTTAATGCAAAACTTAGCATCATTTAAATGTAAGATTTATCTTTATGATATTTCAAATCTTTATAGTCATTTTATGACAATCGTCAACATTTTATCTTTAAAGATTTATAGTTGAATTTATGTTGCACTATCAAATTATTAAACTTTTTGATAGAAATATATATCATTTCAAATTTAACTACAAACACACCTTATCCAGGGTCAATAAAAACTTCTTTTAATTGAATTGCATGCTGGATTTTATTTAATTTTTTAAGTACTAAAGATCCTTGAGGTAAGATTTCAATGGTGGAGGCCCCTTGATTGGTCCTCTGAACACCTCCTGGGTTCATTAGCCGTTGCATCCTCTGACCAATCAATTACTGGAAACCCCAAGCCGACTCATTAGATGCAGTCGAGATCATGTCTTGTTTCTCCATAAGCAATTGCAGTTCATTACCGAGGATTGAAGCCTCATTAGGGGCACGGCTCCTTGCCTGGCAATTTGCAGGCATGCCAAAAGGGTTTAATGTTTTGATTAAGACACAATCCTAACTAGGCCCAGATCTAGATTCAGATCCCGAACCGAATCAAGAGCAGGTGTTGCCAAGACGTTGGCGTGCGGCTGGTCAAATTTTAAATTTGCCATGACCAGAAGCATTACAAGACATAAAAAGAAAACTAAACCTAAAAGAGGAGTAAGGAAATCTCTGGCTGAGATTCTGAGTCTTGTTAATCTAAGTTGATCTGCTAACTGTACTTGGGTTAAGGCCCAAATGCAGTCGCAATTATGTGGCTTTTGTTTTATGGCCTGTGGCTAACAATAGAAACCTTGACCGATTAGCGACAAGTTAAACCCTTTGTACACAATCTTCTGACCTTAGGTCGTAAATTAATCAAGCCCCAAAGTGAGACCGAGTCGAAAGAGAGTCATCAAACGGTGGCACTGCCTCCACTTCACTCCACTTCACTCGACTCCAACTCCAACTCCGAGCTACGAGTCCAATCCAACACCTGAGCTCCAAGAGACACAGCCCAACACACAAACAAGTTGATTTTCCAGCCCAAATGCCCCCAAAACCCAACCCACACCACTGAAAAAAACCCCGCTCCAGCTTCGAATCCAAACTCAGACCCAAAGCCCATTGTATGTCATTTTTCAAAACCAGAAATGAAACGAAACCAAACCAAACGAAACGAATTAAAATCTGCCAAGGCTTAAGAATTCGACTAAAAGATACTTATTAATTTTAATGGAAGAGATATCAATTGAGTAAAATATTTACAGAAGTTCACCTATGAGAGAATGTCAATCATTATAAATAAATAGAAAACTTCTTCTGAATTTAATTTCAATTGTTTGAAATATTTTTTCCTAAGACACAGATCTTTCAAAGGTTTTTAAAACCTTAAAACCCTTTTAAATATTTTTATTATATAAAATATTATATATAAGGTACCTTATAAATTTATATACACCTCTGTTTCAAATTTAAAGGGTATTCCAAATGAAGCTTGTAGTGCGCTTTGGTCTCGGACTTTTTACTGCACCGCACGTGCCAAGGCGACGCGCGGCTTTTGCGCAGGCGCAGACTTTGGGTATTGGAACTCCGATTCGGAGTTTAAAAAAAAAAAAAGTAAAAAATAGTCAGACACTCAAGACAACCACAGCGATGATGATGATGACGATGCCCAAAACAGTTGTGGAACAGTTGTACTTCGTTGTTGCCGCTGGACATGGCCCCATGTTGGGGGGAAAACGCCCAGCTAGCCAAGAGCTGAGCGGTTTTTAAATAGTTAAAGCGAATTCTAGATGCTCTTAATAAATTAAATAATGAGAAAAGTTAGGAAATTATATGCAGAACATATGTAAAATGCATAATTATTATGACTATTGTACTATATATTTATAAAAGATATTTATATAGTTATAAAGATATTCAAGGCTTATAGAAATGTATAAAAGATACATTCATATAAAGTTTAATCTGAAGGGAATAGCAACAGATTTTTATGTAAAGTCAATATATTCATTTGAAAGATTAAATATTATAAGGAAAAAAGATTATTTCCAGTAAAATCCCATGGCTCTACGGATCTTGAATTTATAATGTTTTTGGTTAGACTTCCTTTAAAATAACAAATTATGTTTAGTTCTAATTTATCAAATGTATCTTTGAATTTATTTCTAGGATTTTATTTTTTACATATATAAAAAATATTTTATATTTTCCTAAAAACAACTTAAATAATATATTATAACTTCTCTCTGGTTCCTCTCCAAACCAAAAGAATCGAAGAAAACCTTTGCGACCATGACTTTTAGGTTGTGCGATGATCAAGACAAGAAAATATATAAAGAAGCTTTTGGCTCCCTAGAGTAAAAGTCATTTATTTTATTTAGTGTTTGTCTGTGTGCTGTTAAGCTAGGTTTTTTTTAATTAAAAAACATCTTGGTAGAAACAAAATATCTTGGCTACTTTTGTGGCTCGTGCCCACCGGTCTCTAAGGTGCCTAAAGTGGGCGTGTTTTTCTCGGAGAAGGAGAGAGATAAAGATTTGGAATAGACATCAGAGCTTCTTCTACTTCTTGGGGCCAGACATTGTAATTGTGTTGAAGATGATGATTCAGCCGATTTATATGGCTCGTGCCAGTAGAGAGAAACCTCAAAACTTTAACCTGAACTTCAGCTTCGATTCTATCTCGACAGACTCTCAAAACTGGGATGGATGGTTGGCAGCTACTGAAAAGTTGTAAGTCATAAAATTGTCTCTTCGATTTCCATGGAAACTTGTGGGACTTGTGTCCCTCCTGTTTTTATTTTCCATTTGCAGGTGTTTGGTCTTGGCCACGTTCTGATCTTTGACTGTCAGCAGCGCCCACGCCAATTTGATCCCCCAAATGTCTTTGGCTTTTGTCTTGTCTCGCTAACTGTGTCAGCAATTAGTTGCGGGCCTTATTTATGGTTTCCATTTGCCATTTGCCTGTTAAATTAATTAAACACAAGCCAATAAGCGAACACAAGGTATCCATAAAGCCTTTTAGAGTTTGGAAAATAATACAAGGTCTTTAATGGTGGGTTGGGAGGGTGAGAAGGGGCGAGAATTTATTAGAAAGGATTCAAAAAGAGGGTTTGTTTAAGGTTAAGGAGAGCAAAGAGGCGTTAATTTTTTTTAAGATTTTGTTGATTTAAAATATAATTATTTTGTACAGTAATTACTCAGTCGAGGATTATTTAAATGTAAAATTATAGCCCTTGTAAATTGTATATTTTATGGTAATATTAAAGATACTTGGTAATATAAATTCTATATTTTCTGCTTTTTAAATTACAAACCAATAACAATAATCACAAGTTCCCACTCCAAAACGACAATTAATTTACACATAATTTTTACAAAAAAAAAAAGAAATAAAACTCTGGGCAAGTCAAATGTCAACGACCAGTTCAAAGTGTTTATAACTATCTTTTCAACAACGATCGATTCGACAACCATTTTGCACAAAGAAATACCGAAGCAAACATTAGTCATCTGTGTGAGAGGCATGACAGACACACAACCAATCGACTACAATAAACTTATCGCGCCTATAAAATCAATCAGCTTTTAATAAAAAACAAGACAAAAAAAAAACAAAATATATAAAAAACGAACAACAATAAAGAGTTGCTGCTGGAAAAGGAGTTCAGTTTCCGCACATATGGAGCAGAGATCGGACAATGACTCATGGAATGGAGACAGACCCAGACCGAAACCCATAAATAAGCTTAAATATAAATATTTTGTAGCTCCTCGCGCCAGTTTTGAAGCCCCCGTCTTCCAGAGTCTTGGCTTATTTGCCCATTCGAAGTTGTTTATACAATAAATCTACCTGAAAAGACCCTGGCCCTCTGGCACATCTAACAAGTTACTTAATTGTTTAATTCAGGCTTTATACATACCCTACAATAGTTATTAAAATCAATGTTATGTTCTTTGAGAGTAGTTTTCAGGTTATTTTTTACATACTTCTTAGCCTTAGTTATTTTATTCAAAACCTACGATTGTTTTGCTAAATATTAAAGCTCATAAAACCCTTAACTTCCCCTTGAAAGCTAGGGTATCTCTGGCCAAAAGATGGGTCTAGTCTGGACCAACTTACTACCTGCACTTTGGGTGACTCACCCAAAAGTAAATCTTGCAGTTTGGCCCACAGTTTAAATGATCAACAATTCGTGGCTCGATATGATTAGCAAGTCCCCTGGTCCGCCTTTCAGGTAGTTAGACCGAAAATGCGATTGTGGCCAAGACCCTGGAACCCGGGCAAAAGCTCTTTTGGCCTCCTCACTTCACACGTTTACGTTTCTCCAGCAAAGATCGTGCCAATGTCTGATGGCTGAGCTCTACTATATACTATATACACAAAGGTGACTCATCGTCAAATCAGAAATCCCTCTCCTCTGGACTCTGGAGGATCACTTCTTGATTTCTTTTCTTATTTTGTTTTTTGTTAAATGCGAATCTTGTGTTTTTCTGTTGAGTTATTTTTTTTTGGTTGCGATTGCGGTTTCATGGGTTCTCGATTTAGTTGGAAATACAGAAATTATGAAGGCGATCAACTGGGGGGAATATAGTCTAGGTAGTCGCTTAATTTCTTAATTAAGTAGGTTGGTGTGAAGAGCAGACAGTAAGCCAATAAAAAGGTTAATATATGGATATTAAGAACCTGGAGAATGTTTTATATTTTCTAGGTGTTCAAAGCATTTACATACTTAACTGAAGCATTCTGTAATTACAAGAATACATCTTTAGATTTATATATTTTCTCAATGCATCTGAGGAGTGGCAATTAATTTTCTTATTTTTAGCTTTCGATGGTGATAGATTCATGGCGCAAATTTTGCCATTTTCCAACAGGCCTTCTTGCTGTCAAATGGAATTTTCCGGCTTTGGTTGATGCTTTATATTTAGAGCTCCATTTTCCAGTTTGTTTGGTATGCACAAAAAAAATAGAGGAAAAACAATTTTATTAAATCCGTAGGTGTGTCCAAATATTGGCTGTGATGCAAAATAGGAATTTTCAAAAGAGAAAAGAAGGCGTGTCCTCTGTCTGAACGTTTTATATGTTTATTTATGGCCAGTGTGATGCTTTATTAAGTTTAACAAAGGGTTTATACATTTATAAATATAAAGAGAAATTTAATTTAAAATAGCTGAATTATATCTAAAATCCCAATTAGGCAAGTTATATATTTTAAAATTGGTAAGCAATTAGAGGAATCAATGGGCAACCTTCAATCAATTCGACTGTCATACATAATTCAAAAGCAATTTACACGATTTTAGTCTGTTTACTATATACATATATATGTTTTTGTCTATATTTAATTGCTGCTAGGCAAGTTGGCCAAGTTGGCGATATTTATGTTGTAAATGTAATTGAAGCTAGTGCCAAGGATGTCAACTTCTTGTAAGGGGCAAGTTGTTGAAGTTGGGTTTTTAAATTTACCTAGTTTTTTTTTTGACAAAATGTAAACAAAATGAAGTTTAAACTAAAAACATACACATATATTTAACATATAAAAAATATATTTTATATATTACTACTAGAATTACTTCTTCCCATTAATAGTTCTTATTTTCTAGGAGTATTTTTAATATATTTTTGAAGAAGGAAATTGCTCACATATTTATATGAATAGTTTGAAGAGGCAAAAGTATATATTTAGTGATATAATATCCTACAAGTACTTCATAATATTTTCTATCGATCTTAAAAATTATCTGGATGAATTTTGCACATAAAATTGATTTGCCACAATTGAATTTTTATTGCCCTCTTGATGATATTGAATATGTCTGGTAATTATTTTATGGGATTCTTTTGTTCGTAGAATTTATGATTTAAGTGAACTTTAGTTCGCTAGCTTGATAATAGAACGTGAAAGTACTTTAATTAAATTCCCTGGAAAAAATATTAAAGCGTAGTATTTAAATTTAATCGGTTTTGGCGATGCCAACGAAAATAATAACCTTGTATTGACCTACAATTATATGTCAATTTAAAGAAGCTGATTTTTCCCAGGGATTTCGTTTTAAATGTTGCCAAGTGTTAGTGCTGACCCTATCAGTAAGCTGTCGATAAGAATTGAGTGAATACACTAAAAAAAAAGGAACGAAAATCTTGATTTACGAAAAGTAGTTAGTAATTATATAAAACAAACTTTTTTTGGTGAAGTTTTAGTTATTATTTTATTATTTGAAGTGTTTATATTAATGCAAGTAGTTCTTATTAATTGATAAATAATAAACTGCTGACATTTTTAACCAGATTTCAAGACTTACTCCCAGTTCCACCCACCAATCATTCCCTTTTTAAACAAAAAACTCAGCAAAAACCACCTACCCCAATAATGTCATTAACCATCAATGTGGCGACGTTGACCCACTTTCACTGTCCAGAGAATGTGAACAGCTGTCAGAGGCTGTGAGATATGGGACAACCCCTGAGACATGCCCAGGGAAGCGATAAACCACACTGGACAGAGGACGTAGGACAGGAGACGGAGACAGTGCTCCTCCATCGCTCATCCCACTGAAAGCGAAACAAAAGACAAAGGACTTTGCGAAAACTTGGGGAATACTTACTTCCGATATAAACGATATGGATCGCGATCTTTCGATTGAAGACTGAACACACGATCGACGCCCACACATATTGGGGGCGAAAATGAGAAACAAAAGATGAGTTTTTGTTGAGTGATGATTAACACGATTTGTGAGAGGCTTTATTAGTTTGCTGAGTGTAATGAGATTTCATCAGGCATAATGGGGAATTTAGTATAATTCCCTATTTCGAAATCAAAGTAAAACAAAAAAGAAAGCTAACTTAGGGTAACCGTAGTGTTTATACCCTTGGTGTTAGCCATAGGATCATAGTTTCGAATATTCAATAAATCATATCTCAGGCAATAAAACCTTGATTTTAATTTGGAAAGCTTTCCCATGCTGGCTTTTAATTGGTTAATAAATCTCCATAATCAGTTTTATATGTTAAAATAATTAAAAATTTAAAAATGACTCCTTCACTGCGTTACAAACTTCTGACTTAAGTTTTAATACCCAGCAAGTATATATATTTATTTTACAAAAATTTAAACTTTTAATACATGTGCATAGATAAACATTGTTTTTTAAGTATTTATACAATATTTTTTGGCATACTTTTTTTGGTATTATGAATATTATTTTAATTATTTATTGAATGCAGCCCCAGGCACATCTCTCCCATGGGGTTGGACTCCGTACATAAACAAGTCCCAAGTATGGCGATCCAAAGAACTTTAATAACAATTAAGTAAAGCATTAAGACAAAGCATTGTGATATTTATATTATATTAAAACTCACCATTGATTTTACTTCTTCTAAGTTCTCCACAACCAATTGAAATGGCATTTCTGTGCTGAAACCTTTTGCGTTCAACAAATTCATAAAAGACTCGACAAATTGCCAGGTGATGGAGTTACCTAAATGAAGAGTTCTCAGATTTGTACAGTTTTGAAATATTTCCAGTAAGTCTTGTTCTCCGAAATTATACTCTTCATTAGGCAAACACAATTCCAAAAACTCCAAAGTGTATGCATGCAGTGAGATCCAATAAAACCTCTGAAAGTCTGGCGTATAATTAAAATTCCCTCTGAATCTTAATGATTTCAGTTGCGGAATATGTGGTAACATTGAGTAAGTGTGACAGGATAATATTTCCAGATCCTGTAACTGATTAAAGCACGAGTTCTGAGTTTCCATTATGTTAATGTTTGAAATGTGTAATTTGCGAAGATTTTGCAGAGTGGAAAGAATTCCAAATATATTGATGACCTGAGAGTAACTCCTCAAGTTAAGGCTGAGGTCTTCCAAATTAACTAGATTTTGTAATTGATAAACTGTAAAGGAAGAATTGTGTTTTAAGAATATTTTGATTGGGATTTGAGCTCTTCAACTCACCTATATCGCCGGCGAAACCGTGAAGAAGTAATTTTGTTAGGTTTGGTAGTTGCATCAGGGCGTTGATGATATTCACAGACGGTTCACAATCCTCACTAATATGCAGATGAATTGACTTAAGGGTTTTCATATTGAGTATCAGCGCAGTGATCTGCATCCAGTTTTCACTTTTTACATTAAATTTAATGGACTCCAAGAACGGACATTGCATCTCGATTAGATGAAATGGAATGATATTCTGGCTGTCCCACAAGCCATTTATTTGTCGCACTTTAGAACCGCATAGAGGCAAGATTACTGGCCAATAAATGGCCGATAATTTACGAATGTCGAGATCTTTAAATTCATTTCGACTGTGCAGGGCAAAAGCTTGTCCCAAAAGCGGATTTGTTTGGGCCAATTGCAGTTTGTCATTGATATTGAGATGTTGAAATATTAAATCTAGAACATCCGCCGGCAAAAGTGTGAGGTAAATTTCATGTTCCATTGTGAGACTAACGAAATTAAATGCTAGCTTAAGGCTAGACTTTCAGACTGATACTAAATTATTTCTGAAGCTTAGGTGAGGCTTTGGAGACTTTCTTCAACAGCTGACTGATAAGGTCTAACCTTCTTATCTGACATTAGATTCGGGTGGAATTTAATTCGGCGATCTTTCAGTTTATACATTAATCGAAAGTTCGACAATTCTATCAATTGTTAATTATGGGTCATTAAGGAAATTAATTAAAGTTAAGTTAAACGTATAGTAGGTTATTTACTTATTGCTATATTACTTTTATTTATAATTTATATATGTTCGTTTTACTTCTCTTAATTTTTTCAGACTAGGAAAGATTACTTGAAAATAATCAAATTATTTATGGATAATTAAGATGTATCTTAAGATACTCACAATGTATCTATAAAACTATAAGCAACGAATTTTATTATCGATAGACAATGTAACAAGGTAAAATCGAAGGTAGTTCAACCCTGAAAATTTGAATATTTCAAGCTTTATTTATAATCTACTTAATTTCTTTTTTAAAGAAAGTGTAATATCTTCCCAAACTTCGTTTCTTGCTTAAGCATATTAATTTATTTCTTCATTTATATAAATATTCCTTCCATTTTATAAAGAAGAGTATGTTTAACTTCGTTATCCTTAGCTATAATAAAGTATCTTTATTCGTATTAAAAAGTCTCCCAAAGCGGATGGGCCACCTTTTTTTATCGTTGCAATCATTGAATAAACTCTTCTTGGCTTTTTGCGTACAAAAAGGCAATTTATTAATTATGCATAAATGGCAAAGACCCTGTCGAAGTTGAAGAAAGCGGGAAACGTGGGGGAGTTGCGTTGTCGGAAAGTTCAAAAAGCAATCAAGTTCTTGAGTGCCGACAGCAATTCTCAGCCGATTGTACAGTTAAATATATATATATATCTGATAAATCTGCATATATATATAAGCAAGCAGAAGGACTGAGAAGAGACAGGAATCGAAGACTTTTTATAGCCTGGACAAAATGCTGTACTTTAACTGGAATCACCTTAAATGGCAGATACTTTTGTCTTTTGTCGAAGATCTTTTTTTAACGGGTTTATATATAAAGAAGATAAAAAAGTTATTCATCAGTTGGCAAACTTTTAAATTTATTTTTTGGGCATCATAAATTATTATAGGGGGAAAAATTAAGAAAGAACCAAGAATTAGAGTCCATCACTAGATATTCTACCTGCCTCTGCAGATCCTCAAACTCTCCTACATGTGTTCCCAATATGTGTGTCCCGATCCGGTCGAATCTTTTCTGAACACCTCGTAGAACCATTTTTCTTTTCCCTTTCCTTTTTTTCCCATTTTTGGGTTCTCATTTTGCTCCTTGGTAAAGTTTTAAATTTCTTGGAAATAAAAGCCTGGCCATTAGTTTTCGTCCTTCCCTTTTCTATCGCTCTACGCTTGGCTGCCCCTTTTTTATTATTATTATTTCTGTCTTTTTTCGGGGTATATTTTTTTCGGGGCAGGCAAAATTTTGGCAGCTACCTAAGGAATCGAGCACGGATAACTAGTGGGAGTGAGATGGATTTGAGAAACTGAGAAAGAGAGAGAGATAACTGACGCTGAAGAAAATCTAAGGGTAGTCTAGTCTTCTAAGTATACTCTTTATTTGTCAGATGATCACCACGAATTTGTGAAGCAGTTTGTCGTTTCTTGTGGGATTTCAGGGGGATTTGCAAAAATATTTATAAATTTACATTTAGTAATAAGTAACAAAATATGAAGTTTTTTTTTATAGTTATCAAAGGGATATATCCTTAAATAAGAGAGTATACTTTTTATGGCAATCATTTGTTAATTTTTATTTAAAGAAATCATAAAATATATGGCCTTAGAAGGCTCTTTTTTCTAAAAGATACTCAACACAATATTAAGATACTTTTGCTGGTAACTCTAATAAAGATATTAAAAAAGATTTTCAAGACAAGATTGAGATACCTTTACAAAAATTATAGAATAAAAGAAACACGAAATTTACTTAAAAAAAATTTAATTTAATCTATATTTTTAAACTTTAAAATCTTTCCAAGCCTTGTCATTCTTTGTCTAGTTGCAGAATTAACCTTAAAAAATATTTACATTTTCTTGGCTATATAAATCTTTATTTTCATGCTTCTAAACCCTTTCAATCCTTTCCTCAGTTTGTTTAATCTTAAAGATACAATATTAACTGAATCTCCAAAGTATCGCCAACTTGTTAGAGTATCTCCTGTTCGACTTGAGTCATTTTTCGTACTGATTGTGTTCCTCTTCCAAGTGTTATCTGCTTCTCGGCCTCTGTCCGTGCGTTTATTTAATTTTTATTTTTATTTTTTTTTATTCGGGCTTCACTGTGGACCCCTCTCTTGCTCGGTTACTTCGGGGGCTGCCTACGAAATCCATGTGCAGGTGTCCAATATTTTCTTTTTTATACCGCGTCATCGGGGCTACGGAGGAGGAGTATATATGTATATATAAATGTGTATAAGCAAGAAAAAAAAACCAAAACTAGTTCTAGATTTACAGCCCGCCGGTTTCCCGCTTGCCGCCTTATTTCGCCCATATTTTCGATTCGATTGCGTATAACAAGTTTAGCTGTCGTCTCGTCCGTCGGTTTTCGAACCGATCTTTTCGACTCGACATTAAAGTGCTTTGCATCCATGCAACGTAGTGTCCGTCACAGTTTTCCCCCTACCTCATATAATACCTTATTTTTTTTTGTTTTTTTTTTAATTTTTGTTTTGGTTCCTCAATGCGGCTATTCTTATTTTCTAAGCTTGTGTGCAGGGAAAACAATTTTGAAATTTGATTTAGAAATAAATATGATTAGGTAAACGAGAGGGAAGTGAAATATTTTATTAATTTAGGTGTTTTTATAATTAATATAAAATATAGAGACAGATCAAGATATTTTTTGGTGTATAAATATCTTTAAAAGATGTTCTAACTCTCCAAAAAGCATTATTATGAATCTTTTATCAGATAAAGCATTTACTAAAATATATTATTGTAATATAATCAAAATATTCCTTCAAATATAACAAATAAATGTACCTATTTATTATTTTTAGAACCATTCTTTCAGTGTAATTTTGATTAATATTATACACATGTTAGATACGAGGTTTTTTGGAGGCCCCATGTGGAGTGCCCCCCTCTATTCTTAATAATCTCCCCATGCCTGGTAATTACCCAAATTTGGCGTCACTATCCGTTAAAGGGTTTAGGTTGGTTTTTTATGGAGATAGGATTAAGGAAGGGGTATAGTCAAAACAAAAACAAAACAAAAACGGTAAAGTGGAATTAAAATTTATTTATGGACTTGCACTCTAACGATATTTTAAAAGGTTCGATTGGGGATAAGAGAGAGGAAGAATAAGAGATCTTCTAAGTAACTACATTGTATTTAAATAGTTTTCAAAATAAAAACAAAAGGTGTTTCTTTGTTACCATTTATTATTAAGTAAAAATATTAACAAACTTGGAAACTTGTTTTAATATTTATTTTAAACGATCTTCATGCATGATCTCAACATCCTTCCAGTAAGCATATTCCCCAAAGACTTCAGGATCTACTGGACTATCCTGTTCCATTAATTGATCAAAAGGATAACCCAAGGGTAACTCATCCCAACGACTGATACCTTTGCTAAAATCACAATTAATTTCATTTCCCTGCTGAGCCTTAAAGTCATAGGCAGTGGCAACAATTAATAAACGCATTTTTACAGGATTTGCTTGGCCACCTCTTGGTAAAATCAGACGTCTAGGGAAACCACAATTCGGTGTGGAAATATTCATAGGAAATTCATAGTCCTCATCCCTTTCGGCCAGCTTCACAAACTTGTACAGTTCAGTAAGGGAAATGTGATCCCCAATCAATCCATTAAAATCCTTTAACTCTCTGGTTATACGGTTTAATCCTGGATATAGCACAGTTAAAAATGAATCCAAATGATAAAAGGGTTCCCTGTGAATAGATCCTCTCACTGAAGTGGTCAATAAAGTTCGAAAAATTACAGATTGTGTTCGATTGTTGCTAGAGACATCTAAAGTGTAGTTAAAGTCCTCTTGTTGTAGTCTATATTGCCTTTTGTGGAGTGTAAAAGGCCACATAAATTGTCCAGCTATATAGAAATGTTTTTCATGAAGAAGATTACTGAGATCCACATCCACAGGTTGATCGTAGGTAATCAAAGGACTAATTTCCACATTAGTAATGCAAAGATCCTTGGGTATATAAGACTTGCGGTTATTATTTGGTTGAAAAGCCTTTCTATACCAATGATAGGAACGTAATAGTCGTTCAGCAAAATAATAAAAGTATTCAAATCTCAGAGATGTGCGAAGATCTAGCAAAAGTTGAGGTTTATATTCAATATCTTCAGTTACAAATTGTGTCCAGTCGTAGGGAAAAAGTTCTCTAAGACCAATTAACCAATTGTTACCAGAATCCAAGTTAATAAAACTACCATTGGTTAGAATATAACTTCGGGAGGCAATTGCTTCGTCTACCAAAGACTCCAATCTCTCAAGATATTCATTAATCCTCCTTGTAGTTTTATGATAGTCATTATCTAGACTTAACTTTTTATATGACATCTGCTGGCCATATCTCTCCAGCTTATAACGAGCCAGTATTTGGCTTAGTTGGTAATACCACCATTCGTGTAACTGATCATGTGACTCCTCCTCTTCCTTAGCTAAAACTATGCCCATGTTGAGATAATACCAATAGGATTGCCAGCCAATATCCTCCAACAAGTGCTGAAGTTTATTTCTACTTTTCTGATGGTTTTCCTTTATTCTTAGAATATTAACATCAGCCATTGCCTGAAGCCATTCATGGGAGTTCCTCAAAGGACCTCCCTCCAAACTCAAAGGTTCCATTTCTTGAGGATGAACTTCCTCTATCATAATATCTCTTTCATTCTCTTGTCTTGACCAAAAATTGGCAAAATTAAATTTTCTGGCTTTGCTGACGGTGACAGCATCGTGATAGGTTTCTGGCCATAATTCATAGACTTTGGGCATAATGAGTGCCTGATAATCTTCTCGTTTTAGTAGGACTTGCGTTAGAGCTTGAACGAAAATACCCGGATTCAAATACATACGAGCCCAGCAAATATTTTGCCATAAAGTATACCAATCTCTGGTGTTGTAGAAAAAGTTATAAAGACCCAGAGTTTGCTCGTAATGATCAGCATTCAGTGGATTGAAAGAGGCTTCTCTAGGTAGCAGTTTTCCCAGATTGAAAGCCTCGTAAAACCATGTCATGCGTTCATTGTAAACCTTAAAATTGAAATTACTTATTTATAGTACATATAGATATTTATATTTATTATTTTACCTACCACATATTGATCCTTATCGGTTACCAATTGCTGTCCCAATAATCGCCATTGTTCGTTCATAAGAGGTTCGTTAACATGATTAAGAATTTCCAGCAGGTGTTGTTGCTTCTCCAAATAGTAACGATTACCTTAGGTACATATTAATTAATTAATTATTATTTGTTAACATTAGTTAATTAAGAAGCTTACCTATAACATCAGCTCTGAGAATAGGCAAGAAAATATTTAAAAAATATATTGATAAGAGGCCGCGAAATTTCATCGCACTTGTTTGTCACACATGAACCGAAAATCAACTGAAATGCAATTTGATTAAGCTATCTATATAGCTCTCTGACATAATCTGGGTTTCAGTAGGGTGATTCAATTTATTATAAAAATGTATTATATAGTTTAATAAATAAAATAGAGTATTGTATGTCTAAAGAGAAATCCATAAATCGAAAATAGGTTTCAGTAACAAACTGGAAATAATTATACGTTTTATTGGTATAGTTTTAATGTTGTTTAAAGGCATTTACTTGTATAAATAATATTATTTTATATTACAAAGATATATGCACTAAATTCTATATATTTAAAAGTTTTTCAGTATTAAGAACTCTTTTAATGCAACCACCACTTTCATTTTCTTTATTGTTTACTTTGTTCCACCTAAGTGGCTATTGTTGGTTAATGTATATATATATATATATATATATTTATCAGTGAAAATTACCCTAAGAGCGAGTCTCATTTGCCTGTTAGTCACCAGGAACGACCACCGTCGATCACTTCCTCCTCATTCTCCTCCTCCTGCAAATGTGCGGACATTAAATTGCCAACAAAGTCGGTGTTTCTTGGTGCCACTTGATGTCTGCCGATGATGACTGGATGTGCGGAAAAAAAGGGCAAATTATAATGCGAGAAATGTTAATTACAGTCGTCGACAACGGCTCGGATGTCTCGGTATATATATAGTATATAAATGGGTATATATCTGGCCCATTGTTCGCTCAGAAATTGGCGCATTAATGTAAATCGGCAGCCAGGCATGACGGATTATAGGAACACAGACCTAGTCCAGATGCAGGCCGACTGAAGTAAATTAACGTCCAGTTATGGCACAAAGCTCTTTGTTCCCCTCCCGGTGACAAAACGTTGCGCTCGAAGAACTTAATGAGTTGGAACCGAAACGTAAAGGAACCCTGCCAGATACTAGATACTTTTCAATCTCCAGATACTTGTAGCTACTCTTTCTGTCTCCTCGCTGATTGATTCTTATTGATGGTGGCCAAAAAAAAAAAATAATAAGCCTGTTATAGGACCGTTACGGATCGAAGCAATTGCTACCTCATCAAAACTGATCATCTGATGGAAAAAAAAAATAAAGGAAAACTTTAGGGCTAACAAAACGTGACAAAACTGCTGCTGGTGAATATTGTCTAATCATTGTCAATGTTGAATATCAAATAGATGCACTCAGAGAAAAGGAACGAGGAAAAGTTAAAATAAATTCAGTGTTCTTGAATTTCAAGGTTTTATTTAATTGGGTTTTTGTCTATGTTTTATTTTTGTGATCTTTAATTTTGAAATATAGGTATTTAAGACTTATAAGACTTCAAGGCATAGAAATGGGGACTACATTATATTATAACAGTTTGAATTAAAAATAGGGACTATAATATATAGTAAACACAAGACTAAATTAGAACTGGAATTATATATTTAAAACAAATCCTTTGTTTGAACCAAAGTGCAGCAGTTGTTAATAAAGTCTTGTCTGCAGAATAGCATAGATGTGATCTCTGTGAAAGAACTCACACATTCACACTTTAAGTATACCTTTCTTTCCCTATAATTTTATAAAAATCTCAATCAAAATCTTTTTATTTTTGTATAGTGTAATATATAATACCGAAAGTGACTACAAAATCCCTTTTGCACGTGCAATGGGCACCATGGGGGTTGCCTTTGCCTTCATCTGTGATTCTAGTTTCCCGTCTTCGATCCTAAGTGCTTTGCATAATATTAGCACATGATCTGGGTTCTGGGATCTGGGTTCTAGGATCTGGGATCGCGGATCGCATTGCATTTGCATCTTGGCACAGAATTTCCATGGGCTTGTCATCATCATCAGTATCATCAAATTGCCATAAATCGTCGCCCCTTGTCGCTCCTTTCAAATGTCATCACAGTCTGTTTTTTTTTTGTCTTCCTTTCCGCTGCTGGCGTTTCCGTGATCCTTGGCCCCCGGGAGGCTTATGAAATGCAAATTACATTTCAATAGTGCGCTTTAATAGTAGGTCTTCGTAACCCATTTGCGCACTTTGTTCTTTGTCATCGGTTGCCTGATGACTGCCCCCTTTTTAGCGCATTGGAAATTGTATTTAAAAAGTCATTATCAGGCGGATCCCTACCAATTTCAGTGCATCAATCACTAGGGCCTTTTGTCAACCTTTTCGTTTTTTTAATTTTTTCTCTTTATGTTGTTGATGGGTTATAAAACGGACATCATCTTGGGTCTTGGGCGTGTGATTGGTGGGGTAGAGAACTGCTGGAAAACCTTCTATAGGTTCTTAAGGGGTTTTAGGTGTTAGATATTAGGGGCTTTTCTTTTTATATGTATCAGGGGACAGCTACTTAGGTTTAATGATCTCTCTCACAGCAAGCGGGCTGTGACATCTTAAGGATCTATTTTAAACAGAAGCTACGGGAGTTTAAAGAGATTAAAATGTTCTTTACTTTGTTTGATGGAATATTTTCGCTTTAATTCGAAACCCCATTTAAGTATGAGTTATTTAAAAGAGTTTTCAGTATTTAAAATGTCATAACTATAGCTTTGGTATACTTTTAAAATACATTTAATAAGCCCTCAAGGACTCCTATTCCCATGACTCACTTACCAAATATGTGTAGCTACCGATAGCTTTTATCTCATTTTCAATTACCATAATTCCCTTGCCTTAAAAGTGGTTACATAAGCGCTTTTAACCTTCCATTTCCTAACTATTTTCACTCACTCAGCTATCTCTTGGCAACCTCCAAAAGCTTCTTATATTTATTGTTACCATATTATATTTTTTGCTTTTTTGCTGAACATATTTTAGGTCTGACGCATACGCACTCGTGCGGGGTCTTTTTGGAATGGCATGTGGACCTCGGGGCAGGGCATGGCACCACCACCTCGTCAATGGCAAAATGTGTAACCAAACCGAAGCTGATGTGAATCATCGCTCCAAAAGAGCAGCTCCAGACCGCTGGGCTACTCGATCGGTAGTCAACGGGAATGGCTTTAATAAGGCAAAAGTCGACAAAAAAAATAAATAAAAACAACCAGAAATTGGGTCAAACAAGATAAAATTCAAGTAAGTTCTTTTTTTGTTTAAATAATGCACTCGAAGAATTAAGTATGGTTTAAACATTGAAATGAGTAAAATTAAGATGTGGGAGAAAGCTTAGACTTACAGAAATTTAAGAATAATACCTAGAAGGAAAAATTTTAAAATTTTTGTATAGTTTTCTACTCTTTTTCTGTCTCTTTTGGGGCTCTGATCTTAACCAGTGCCCAACAATGATTAAAAAATTCAATAGTATTCATGAAAATCAGCGAAGTAATGAAAATATTGTATATACTTAGCTGAAAAATATTATAAATATATTTTGGAAACCTTCATAACACAAGAAAGGAAACTAACTTTGGGAAACTGCCCTTGCAGTTTGAAATTGAATTATGGGATCGTTTAGCAAACCGACCATAATTGACCTTAAAATATTCGCATTCTTTAAATCGATATATATTTTTTTTTTTCGAAAATGCTAATTTTAAATAACTTATAACAGCCAAAAATGTATTCATTTCGATTCGGAGAGCTGTTCTGTGCTAGTTTTTATAGCGCTAACAAATTTGCATACTGCGTTTTAAAATTTAAAAAATTAAAATTTGAAAATTTCAACGATGTAACCCCTTATAAAAATTTGCAAAAATTTCAAAAAAAAAAATTGTTTTGACCAAACATGGCCAGATCGACTCGGCTGTTGATACTGATCAAGAATATATATGATTTATGGTGTCGGAAATGACTCCTTTCAGCATAACAAGCTTCTGACTACAATTATAATACCCTAGAAGGGTATCTACTATTTACACCTCCTTTTGTCTCATAATTTTCCCCGAGTGCACTTAAATGAAACCAATTTCTGTTGATCTTCTTGTCCCGAAATTTAATACACTGCTGAAAATGGGAAAGGAGAAGGAGGAGGAGGAGATCGAAGAAGCTCCAAACAATGGCAGAGCTTTCATGCGAACTGTCACGACTTGTCACGACAATTAACCAAGTCGATGGCTATCGGTGGCCATCATCTATCGTTGGATCAAAAAACCCCAGGAAACGCCCGCCCACGCATATCAGCCTTTAAGGTCTTAAGCGTTAAACAAATTAAGTGTTTGAGGAATTATTGAAATACGACGCCAATCGAGGGAGGAGGAGGAGTAGAAGTGAATGCATCAGGTAGAAGGCAGAAGGTGGAGTTGATGACCCAATTCGCTCAGTGCACTTGCGCGACCATTTTTAGGTAAACACTAAAGAACCCTCTGCTGGTGGTGGTGGTGACCCCAACCACAGTCAGAACCAGAACTCCCCTTTCATATACATTTATTTATATATATATATACATATATATACTTCTTTACCAATATTTGTTTGCCATTTAGTTTATTATGCTGCATGTGCGCCTTGGTTCTTTGCCTTGTTTGATTGCCCTTATTGGCCTGCCGTGGTGATTTTCAATTCGAGTTATGATTATTATATGTTGGGAAAATCAAATAACGGTCGCACATACACATACGGTGATAATTTCCATTTGATGAGTTTTCAATTGGGGTTTTCCCCTACCCATTGCAATGGGTTTTTTGATCTCTCTTCAAGGTGTTGGTTAGTTTTGTTAATACGCCAAATGCCTTACAAATATCCATACATCAGTTCTCGGTTTTGTTTGACATCTATGAGAACGAAGTTTTGTGGGTTATATATAGCTTAATTGATGGGTAAATGGGCCTGGGAAATGGTAAAGTGTTAAGTACTTTTAGTGGTTAATATATGCAGCAATTCAAAGCTGAGATATATGAAGGGGTTTCATTGGAGAAAAGGGATTATTTGAAAGCTTTATTCCTGACTTAACTAGCTTTGATTTTACCGAAAATAATAAGTTCTTGGTCTTTAGAATTCTTTAATTTTTTATTTATTATTATAAAGGTTTTACGTGTTTTTCTGTATTTTATATGGTTTTCTATATGAGATTATAAGTCACAGTATATGTTCTCCTCCCGTTTAAGAATCTTTACTGCCTCATCAACTTTCATATAATTTCTTACCTTAACGAGTTGAAAGCGCCAAATCATCGCGAGGATTAACATCGATCCTCAGTCAGCCCACCTGAAAAGTTCCCATCGTTTTATGTGATTTGTTCTGTGCCAGTTTACCTTTCATTTTCGACTTGTGACAAATTTACGGGGAGTGACTTTTATAAACTGAATTTTAATAATTCTCTTCTTTTGGGAAATGCTTAATCATGGTTAACCTCGATCTGAGGGATGATTCTTGGGAGTACAACTTTTTCTTTCCCCATTTGCAAAAAAAAAAAATCCGAAACCAAGTCTCCCTGCTGTCTGCCACAGCAGAAATCTAAAAATAACAAACAGAATGAAAAACAGAACAAGAAAAGATAAAAAATATTGTAAACAAAAAAATTGTCATTCCCCTCTCACAAAAACAGAGGAAATTCTTTTGGTTTATAAATATAAAACTGCCGCACGATTGTCAAAGTTGACAATT